TTGTCATCTTGTCCAGTATCTTTTCCCTCTGTCTGCCTCTGCCTCTCTTTCCATCAGACTTGCCTGTTGTTACAGTATTCTCCAAGGCTTCTTTCCTCATTGTATGTCCAATGAACTTTGCCTGTCGCTTTTGTATATTCGTCATAAGCTGTCTTCTACAATTTGCTTCAACGAAGACTTCTTCATTTGTTTTTCTAGCTGTCCATGGGATACGTAGTCAGCAGGCGTCTTATGAACCACAACTCTGTCGCCACAATTGTTCTTTCCAGCTGTCTATTGATTGTCCATGCTTCGCACCCGTATAATAGTAATAGGATTGGCTCGATGTAACTTTTCATTTTCAGTACTCTTTTTCTCGTTTCCAGTGACAGATTGTTTGTTAGTCTAGTATCTGTTTCATCTTGTGGAAGGTTGCTTTTGCTTGGCAAATGCGGCTTTTAATTTCGGTGTGACATCTGCCATCTGATGATATAATGGTCCACAAATATTTAAAATGTTCTATTTATAATGTACTTGAGGGTGGTATCACTGATTTTGATATTGCATGTTGGGGTTGGAGTTTTTCTGCTTATCACCATTGTTTCGGTTTTCTTGATGTTCAGGCTTAAGCCCATGTTGTCACTCTCTTGTACGATGACATTTAATAGATTCTTTAGGTGTTCTTCATCTTCTGCTATTAGGACTGTATCGTCTGCATATCTACCAATAAAAATATTTTTTAAAAGCCAAATGACAAGAAACGCCTGGCGGGAATATCAAACCATGGATGATTTGAGGAAAATAAATTATAAATAGCAAAATAGTTAATACAGTGGAACTCGGATTCAACGAGAACTCGGATTCAACGAGATGAGATAGAGTCCAGGTTCTTTTTCTTCTTTAAAATCAATTTTAAAAAATAACTCGGATTCAACGAGCACTTAAATCAGCGAGCTCAGATTCAACGAGGTCGCTTCCAGGCTGAACAGCCCCCGCAGATGTGGCTTCGCTCATTTTTGTCCCAGAACGAACTTTATAGATCTATTCCCGGAAACCATCCTTTGCACCTGCATCATGATTATTCACTTAGCCAATTGCATGCGACCAATCAGCGGCCTTTTTCATACCAACACATGCGTTTTTGTCACGCGCATGTGTCTACTCTGGCGTGTGTCGGGGTCGGATGGGCGGCCTGCACACGTGTGGCTGTGTGTGAGTGTCGGAGAGGGGGGTGCATTAGCGGTCCGGGCGTGAATGTCGCAGATACTAACGCGTCAGTC